ATCCTTTCATTTACATGTCTACTTGCCTTCCTGCCGATTGCTGGGTACAGCACAGATCTAACCTCCCAAAGAGAGCCAACTTCACTAGGTCTCTTCTGTACTGCTGATCTCTGTGGTGAAGCTTATAGCGCTCACAAATTTTATTATGATGCGAGAACTAGCTCTCAAAACTTTTATTCCCCTAGGAAATTAGCAATTACATAGCCTATCACTTTAACCTGTTGTTCTGTTAAAACAGTTTTCAGTTACCTTATTCTTTTCTCCCACTTTACCTTTGCTCTCTCTGCTCCCAATCTCCACCCTCTTAGTTTCAGTTTAAGGGACTCAGTTTCAGTGTGTTCATGTCTTTTTCTTTAGTATTATTTTCCTAAGCAAACATGCTTCAAATCCTTAAGCAGTTGGAAATACATTGATAGGCTGAAAAAACAAAGAAGGAAAGCAAAGTATGCTTTCAACGTTTCCGTAGCTTTGTAAACAGCGAGAGGTCACACTATCGTCAGGGAGTCAACCTTAGTAGGGAGCTTATTTGTGTATCTGGCATCTTTTACAAAAAGAAACAATAGCAGGCTCTCTCGGTTCGGGGCTCTTGGCGCCGCCCAGTGGAGGGAAGCGCCTTTCCACCCCATTCCTGTCAGTTGGCATTGTCAAGTGGATCCCAAGAAACGTTCAAATTAAATATGATAGGAAGAAGCACCAGTTCCAAGTTCACTGTATTGTATAGGTGTGTTTCTTCAAAGTTCAGTTCTGTTTTTTTTTTTTAACTGGTGCTCCAGCTTAACACAATCTCAAATACCAAATCTTGACTGTAAAAGAGGACCACTGAGAGTGTATTAAGAGCAGAGCTTGTAAAAATATGCGAATGTTTGAATCATTCTCTGCAGCGGGCAGGGGGCGTCTTTAGTGGTGGTCGGGACTGATGTGTCCTTCAGAGCCAGGAAGGAAAAGTTCTTTATTATTCATAGTTGGCAAAAAACTGCTTTCTCTGCAGGAATTCCAAAATCTTCCAAAAATTAAAGAATTCTCTTTCTTCCTCTGTTGTTTATAAGAAAATGAAGACCTGAAAGTGGAAGATCATTTTCAAACCTATGTCAGTTTGTCAGTTTAGGGACTATATTTCTTTGTATGTTAAATTCAATGGGAAACTGAGATTAAGCCAGTTAATTCATTTCCTTTCCTATATGTGGAATTGAAAATGTGACTGATCTGCACCCTGTTCTATTTCTAAACTTTGATTTTTAAACGAAAAGTTAATTATGCTTGCTCTGCTAGAAAGTGCATGACTTCTTGGGTATAAACATCATGTATACTCTCAGGAAAAAAAATGGCAAAAGAGGAATGTGTCTGGGTAAAAAAGAACTGAGGAAAGTTAAAAAACAAAACCCCAGCTGTGAAGAATTTTTTCATTAAGTTTGCCGTCTAGTCTTTGAGTTCCTCTTTTGGATCTTCAGGCCACTACTAGCATTTCCTCTCTGGCAGGGACCCCCAAATAGGACCTTGATAATAAGCAAGGTCGTATTTTCCCCTCACAATTGTGGCTCCCCAAAGCTAATATCCTAACATCCCACCCCAAGAAATCTACGATCTTAACCTTTTCTTAAGAAAAGCTCATCTGAGACATTCACAGGGTGGGGCCTACTGGGCTTCCGTTTGCTTTGCTTTAGAGTTTTCACAAAATGAACAGTCCGCCCGCGGGGGAGGGGGAACTGTACTTCCACCTTCTCTCTCCCTTTCTTTTTAGATTTCATTTTTTCGTAGGGTCATATTTCTGTCTCCCCTGCTAATGTTGTGAATTATTCCAAGCAAAAAATCCTGTCGAACCGCCCAACACAAGCTGTGAGATCAGCCTTTTGAGCTCTTGAGTCATTTTAAGCGTTGGAACAAAACAAAAAACAGGCCTAAATGAATTATTTATCAAGGTCGAGAATAATTGATTTGCGCAGTGCCGTCAGTTCTGGATCTTAAATTTGTTTTCTCCCCCTCCCCACTTCCCACCCAGAACAGGCAGCGAGGGGAATGCGGGTTGGAGCCCCGGGTCTGGGAGGAAACCTCCGTCGGGAAGTTGGTGGGTGATGTCTTAATGAGAAGAATCCGAATTGATATTTGAAGGGAGAAGAATGTGTAGCGTCCGCCTGCAGTTTCAGGCAGCCCCAGCGCCCTTCCTACAGAAACCTACTGTGCCAGGCGTGCCGGGGGCCCGGCCCTGTGGGCGGTACACTGCAGCCTTCGATAAGAGAGATGCCCTCTTAAGTCCCAGGCCCTTGATTCCGAAATCCCGGGGCGCGAGGCCGAAGCCCGGCCTGCAGGCTCCCAGGAGGATCTGCCTGGCCAGGGCGCAGTTCTCGCTCCAAAGGCGGCTGATCCAACTACGCTCCAGGCATCATTCAGGCTCTCCTCGGCTTCCCTGCCTAGGGTGGCTCGACCCCACCCGGCGGGCCCACCACGCGCTCCCGAGGGGCTCCACGCACCCGCTCAGGCCGGCGTCGGCCTCTGCCTGCAGCTGGTTCCGTGTACCCGCCTCGGCTCACCAACCCCGGCTCGTCCGCCAAACTCCCCTCGCCTTCTGAGAAAAGCGAGAGCTGCCTGGATTGTACATCTCCTCGCCTCAGTCTTCCCTCTCCCCCTGTTCTCCTCGGAAACACACCCGTGAGAAAACATGCACGAAGATGATAAGAAACAGCTCAACACGCCCTGGGAACAGTGCGGGATTTTTCTGGGTCAAACACATCGAATTCCCTAGGAAAACGCAGGAAGGATGAGTCTCCCACCTATCCCCTTCCGGACCGAGGGCTCACACAGATGCAGTTCCAACAGAAAGGCAATACTTTGTCCCAGGAGGTCATCTGCCTCCCTGACATCCCCCCCGCCCCCCGCCCAGCCAAGTCCTCAACAGAACAAAACCGTTCCTCGAAAAGAGACTTTCGAAACCCCAGATTTCGGCCCAGCCCTGGGAGACTTAAAAGACCATTTTCCACCATCATTCTGCACCTAGTCACGGAAGCGATGCCAGCCACTCAGATTCATAGGGTTCTTAAAATGGTAATTTGGAGTAAAATGTAACTCAGAGAACTTTGAATCATTCATTAGCACCTTATAATTACTCTGCTAATTAGGTTGACACGGCACTTAATCAGGAGTAATACGCCGTCTTGTCACTGGCACTTCCCATTACTCTGACATTCAACAAGAGACAGGTTGGAGACGTCCTAGAGAAAATAATGCAAGTTGATACCCTCCGACGAGGCGTCACAGTCAAGCCACGTTCCAGGTCCCAAGTGGATCCACAGTGACTGTTTCCTTTCCAAAAGAGCGGCCGGAGAGGGCGAGGGAGGGAGGGAGGGGGAGAGAGAGAGAGGGAGAGAGAGAGAGGAGAAGAGAGAGAGAGGGAGAAGTTGAGAGATTGAGATCTGGCTGGGGGCAAGGAGGGAGTACGCGCTGCTGAACCACCACTCGGGTTCCGGAGCCTCATGCCAGCCTGACACCACAGTGAACCGTAGCTGCCCTCGGCGCTAGAGAACACCTCGGGCCATTATTTCCCCCGCTCGGGAGAACGTGTCTGGCCAGGCATTTCTTCCAGCACGGGCCGATTGGAGACCAGGCTGGGACCCGGGTTTTGAGCAGCAGGCCTCTCGTCCTCCACCCCTTCCGAGATTGCCGGGTGGACGCGGATCCCGCTCCATTTCCCCCTCAGGTACCCGCCGCCCAGCGGGGCCAGAGCCGGGACGCCCAGGCTCCTTGGGGAAAAATCAGAGCTTGGAGTCTGCCCACCCACCCAGAGCTCCGGTTGCTGGAGTTACACACTTTCCTGTGGGTTCCTTCAGGGAGTCCCTTCCTCTGTTCTCAGTGTCCTTGGACTATTCAAGCGCGTGTCTGGGGAGGTGCGTGGCGGCAGCGCTGGCGTCTAAAGGTAAGCCGACCAGATTCCTTTTCCCTTCCTGTCCTCTTTCCCCTCCCTCTTCGGACTTCTTAATGGGCAAAGCATTACTACTTTCTCATTCTTTTCTTTTTTTCCTTTTCTTTCTGTTTTTCTAAAAGCTCCTCTGGTTCCCTTCTATAGTCTCCCTGTGCTCTCTTCCCCTCTCTCCCTTTGCCCTCGCGCGTGATTGTGGACGCCGGGACCACAGTACGACTAGTTGTTTGGCTTTCGGTTGCAGGCAAAGGGACGTGCGGGTTCTGAAAAGAGCAGCGGGGCCCGAGCTGCAACCGCTGACGGGCTCGCGAGCCGAGCACCCATTGGCTCCCGGCACGTCGGCGTCGCTCGCTCGCGCGGGCGCGGCCAATGGGGGCGCGAGGACCTGCGCGCGGCCTCGGCGGCGGGGGCGCGGGCCGGGCGCGGCGCGTGGAGCGGCGGCAGTGGCCGTGACGTCATGGGAGGGGGTCGGCGCCGCCCGCTAGCCGCCGGATTACAAGCGAATGCGCCCGGCAGCGGCTGGAGTTGCTCGGCGCCGCGACTCCGCCACCTCATCCGCCTGTGCCTGCTCCTTCTTTCCTCCTCCTCCTCCTGTTGCCGCGACCACTGCGGCAGTGTCTGCTCCACAACTTTCCAAGAAAGTTCAGAAACTCGGCACCGGGGCGACCGAGTCGCGCGCGGCCACCACCTTGGAGAGCCGCTGGGCAGCTCCGAGGGCGCGCGGCTGCCCGGGCTTCGCGGTCGCTGCACCTGCCACGTCCGCCGCCGCCGCTGCCGCCTGGTGCCAGGCTGTGGGCAGACCCTGGCGGCGGCAGCAGCGGCGGCGGCGTCGGGGTCACCTCCTGCTGCCTGCACCTCCGTCTGGCTCTCCTGCGCAGCCACCGCCGCGCCACGTGCGCGATCGTTCCTGGAGCGCACGCTCGGTGCTTCCTCAACAATTTTTGTAACTTTCCCCCCCTATCTTCCTTTCCCCAAAACTCCTACTTTTTGCATTAGGGTAAAAAAAAAAAGAAGTGTCGCAAGTATCCACGGATTGCCACCTCCCAATTTTCCTTCCCTCCCCGCCCCACTTTTTTTGTTTGTTTGTGTTTTAAGCGGCGACAACATTGTTTCGTGTTATTCTGCTTTACGATCGATAGCTTCCTTTGCTTGGTCGGGGCGGCAGCGGAGCGGCGGAGTGGCGTGGACCTCATGTAGAAATGACAACAATGGAAGGGGCCAGCGGGTCGAGTTTTGGAATAGACACGATTTTGTCCAGTGCCAGTTCGGGCAGCCCCGGCATGATGAATGGAGATTTCCGCCCGCTCGGCGAGGCCAGGACCGCGGATTTTAGGAGTCAGGCCACTCCGTCTCCCTGTTCGGAGATTGATACTGTAGGAACAGCGCCTTCCTCTCCTATCTCGGTCGCCATGGAGCCCCCGGAACCGCATGTGATAGCGGACGGCCCCCAGCATCACCACCACCTCCACCACAGCCAACAGCCGCCGCCGCCAACCGCGGCCCCCACGCAAAGTTTGCAGCCTTCGCCGCAACCGCCGCCGCCGCAGCCACCCGCCCAGCAGCTGGGCTCGGCCGCCTCGGTCCCCAGGACTTCCACCTCTTCTTTTTTAATTAAGGACATCTTGGGCGACAGCAAACCTCTGGCGGCGTGTGCACCGTACAGCACCAGCGTCTCCTCTCCCCACCACACCCCGAAGCAGGAGAGCAACGCAGCACACGAGAGCTTCAGGCCAAAGCTCGAGCAGGAGGACAGCAAAACCAAACTCGACAAGCGGGAAGAGTCCCAGAGCGACATCAAATGCCACGGTGAGTCGCGCCGCCTTGGCTCCCTCAGCCGTCTAGCTTCTCCTCCTCTTGCTTCCCTGTCTCCCCTTCTGTCTCCCGCGAATCTCTGCTGGGATTCGAAGGCGATTCTCAGCTTATAAGGAGATAGCGCCACGGTCAAAAACTGCAAGCGGGAGGGAGGCCTGGGCGTGCGATTTGGAGACTCGTCCCAAGTTCTGATTATTGTTACATTTCTACCTCCCAACCCTCACTGCCATCCAGCTCCTTTCTTTGTTTTACTTAATTTTAATTTATTAGGAAGGGGGCAGAGGTGGAGGGTATCTGACGGGAAATACTTTAGTGTTTCGTAGTGCCTAGGGGTGTGATCACAACGTGGTGCTTATTATTTAATGCAAATCTTTCCATTCTTCCTACACACCGTATTTTCTGAACACTGGAACGGGAATTATCAGATATAGCGAAGGGGAAAATTCCGAAGCGATTAACAGGGAAACTTTTTTAAAAAAATTGTTAGATTGTGATTAATATAGGGAAGGCCACACGGTAAAAAATTATAGAGTTCCAATTAAAAAAAATAATCTTCCTACCCCATGGTGCTAACTGAATATCTGTATTTCAGTAAGAGTTTTGGCCCCTTACAAGTAAATTGGGAGGTAGCATTTATGAAAGTAAAATTTTATGGAATTGGATATCTATTTTTGTAAAATCAAAAGATGGCAATGGAATTGTCCTTCAACTCCCTTTTCCCACCTTCTCCCCAGAGAATTTCATAAGTGTTCTGGTCTTTGCATAGCAAAAGAGTTTTAACATATGAGGAGAGTTCTCTTTTTTCCCTTTACTGATAAGCTTATTATTATTATTAATCTTTGTCCTCTCTGGGAAAGATGTGTGCTGACTGTCTGGAAGGTAGGATATTGCCTCTTCATTTTACTATTGTATCATTAGCATAATAGTGCCCAAAACAGATGTACAGTCTGGTCTGGCGATTTTTTGTGCACCAACCTCCCCAGTGGGTCAATTAGAGAGATTATGGTTCTTCCTGCAGGGAAGATCAAGGAGCGCAGCAAAAACGGGTACAAACAGAGGGATTGACATATCGATTTCCCAGCATTTCAGTAAAAAACCAAAGTTGACAAATAGAATCCGGAAATCTCTGGGCTGTCACCTGGATGGGCTCAGTGATTTTGAGCTGAACGCAGTGTCTGGGAGACATTCTTTCTGAAGCTCTAAGAGACCTGATGCAAGCAGCTGCAGAGAGCTTGATCCAACATTTCCCAAGTGCATCTGAAAAAAAGGAAAACAAATGCCTATAACTTTTAGTAAACAGGAGAAGTAAAATGAAAAAAGTGCTCCCTTCTCAAAAATAAAAAAAAGGTTGAAAGACCTTTTAAAAACTAACACATAAGAAAATATGAAGTCAGGGTGAAAACAGTAATGGAAAGGGACAGGGTCTCCCCCCAGTCAAGGAAACAATTGAGAAAAGGACCCTTTATCATAAAGTTTTTTTTTTTTTCATTTTCATTTCCAAAGACGGGAAGATCCAGCACTCTTTTGGAACCCTCTTAGGAGCTCTGCACAAGGCTCCACACTCCCTAGTCAGCAGTTGGTCCTCTTCCTCCATACTGGCTAAGGTCCAAGTATGTTTATAAGGAAGGTGACAGAGTATAGTTCCCCCACCCCCAGACCAGCAGCTGGCTTGGGAATGTGGAAGTGTGTGCCAGGAGGACACTCCATCCTTCCCCATTCCAGGCTACCTTACGGCCGTGTCTGGGTTTCTATGTAGGAACAAAGGAGGAAGGAGACCGGGAGATTACGAGTAGCCGAGAGAGTCCCCCTGTGAGAGCCAAAAAACCTCGCAAAGCCAGGACGGCTTTCTCCGACCACCAACTCAATCAACTGGAGCGTAGCTTTGAGCGACAGAAGTACCTGAGTGTGCAGGACCGCATGGACCTGGCAGCTGCGCTCAATCTCACTGACACCCAGGTCAAGACCTGGTACCAGAACCGCAGGTAAGGGAGGCTATGTGGGAGAGCAAAGGCGTCTGGCCATCCAGGTCAAGATTACTACACCAATCTTCTTCCCTCCTGGCCTTGGAGACACTAAGGACTCAGAGGGCCCTGAGCTGGCAGTCGGGGGCTTTCTGGCTGGAGGAGGGATTAGCCACACCTCCAAGGTGAAAGGGATCGTTGGGTAGCTGGAGTTTGGAGAATTTTGCACTTCTAAGTGTCCTTAACATGTGCTAGTTTCTCCCTCAAACCTGAGTGGCTGAAATTTACCCCATTTTGCCCCCAAATCAATCAAGCCACACCTTTTCAAACTGAGACATCGGTGTAGGAGACACTCAGGCCCATAAAACCTGTGCATTGCACCATTTTGGGCCTGCCCCAGGATGGTTCCAAATATCTGTAGCCGGTCACACAGTCTGGCTGTATCCATCCTGGAAGAGCTGACCCACTGGCCTCAGCTTAAAAGTCCTTGCTTGTCCTGTGAGGCAGTTGGAAGAGGTAGAGTTGGCAGCCGGTCAGGCATCTAGACTGAGGGTCTGTCCCCTATTCTGGCCACCTCAGAGCCCTCCAGGAACCACGGCTTCCCTTGAAAGGAAATTAGGAAAGGGGCTGACAGTACTTGTAGGCCCCTGAACTGCAGTGTGAACCCAACCTGTGCAGTCTGGGGCCGAGGTTATGCCGAGTTTCCAGGCCTGACGGTTGTCTCCCTTGTCTCGATTTTCTCTCCCCCTCCTTTTCTCTCATTTGTGTTCTAATCGTCCATAAGTGTGGTTGGAAATGCCCATCCAGTTGTCATCTTTACCGTAATTTTCTGTCTCATTACATACGGTTTCAGCCACCCTAATTCTGTCGGAAAACATTAGTGTCATTTGTAGCCAATTTAAAATGGGCGACATGTTTATTAATTTGGCTGGAGCTGCCGGCTATGGAGGGCCCACCAGCCCTGCGTTCCGAAGGAGGCATCTGAGCAAAGGCCTGCTGCCTCTTCTTCTAGTGGGGTGCGGTGGGGGAGGGAGGAGACTGAGAAGAGCTGATCACAGGTTTTAATTGTTACTCTCTCTCAGGGGAGAAAAGATCCTGAAATGCATTTTTCCCCTCCTGGAATGGCCCCGAGGTACTGTCCCCATGGGAGAGTCCTCCCTCAAACGAATTCCGTTTTGAGACCCTTGTCACCTTCCTGGCTCTTAACCGCCCCCCCCCAACACCTGCTGTAAGGTCCTGTCAGGCTGGTGAGAGAGATGTGTCTCCACAGCCCTGGGGACCAAGAGGGCCAGGGGTCCAAGGCCCAGGAGTCTCTGGGTCCCTTTGTTTAAGGTTTCTTCTCACTCAGCCTGGAGGAAAGGGGGAGGGGCAGAGAGCAGACATTCTGGGATTGCTGGGGAGCCACTTGGGGAAGGAAATTAGAGGAGGAGGGAGAAGACTGCCTATAGAAAGAGTGGTCTCCGTTGGCCTCCAGGAAAGTTTCAGGCAGTAGCCAAACAATAAGGGGGGGGGCAACGTCGGAGCAAAAAGTCAGGAAAAGGTAGCAAAGATTGGAGAATTTTATTTATGAATGTCTCAGACATTGATGGCATCGTTTGGGAAACTGACTTGGATTTGGGTGATTCTGGGAGGGAGAGGGTGGGATGGGGGCAAGGAGGTGTGCTTCATTCCTGGTTCTTAGCGCTCTCTAAGTCTTCCTGTGCTCCCCGAGGAAGAGAAGGCAGGTGAGGGGGGAGAACGGGCCTTGGTGCCTGGGCAGTGCCCACAGCTGCAGGGTGCACGCACGCCTGCTTTTATTTCAGGACCAAGTGGAAGCGGCAGACTGCGGTGGGCCTGGAGCTGCTGGCCGAGGCAGGGAATTACTCGGCACTGCAGAGGATGTTTCCGTCGCCTTATTTCTACCACCCAAGCTTGCTGGGCAGCATGGACAGTACTACCGCCGCGGCGGCCGCCGCCGCCATGTACAGCAGCATGTACCGGACTCCTCCTGCACCCCATCCCCAGCTGCAGCGGCCCCTGGTGCCCCGAGTGCTCATCCACGGCCTGGGGCCTGGGGGACAGCCGGCCCTTAATCCCCTGTCCAACCCCATCCCAGGCACCCCGCATCCCCGGTGAAGAGCAGGTCACTGTCCCTCCGTGTCCCCTCCCCGACCCGGACAGCTGCCCTTCCTCTCCCGGCACCAGGCTGTCCGGCCTCCCTTGCAGCCAACCGGGTAGCAAAGAAGTAAGAGAGGAAGACACTCACCAGCGGGTGGAGGGGGGGCCCAAAGAGGAGCCAGCCCTCCACTCTCCATCTCCCCACCCCCAGAGACAGGGCTGGAAAGGTCCCCACGGGAGTGTGACTGGCGAAAACGCCGACTCCACACAAAGTGCGACCAGTAAGTGAAAACATCAACAAAAACAAAACCTCAAGTTCTTTTTAAAAAATGACTTTAGGGACAAGCAGGAGGGAGGGAGGGGGGTGGGGTAAGGAGGGAAGAAAGAAGGGCACGGAGAGGAAACCACACAGGCAGAGAGAATTGTAGATGAACAGCCTCAAATTCCGAGGCAGAGGGCATTGCCGTGGACATTCCGACTGCCCCAGAGAAAAGAGGAGGGTAACTGAGAACTTTGCACTGATTTCTCATGACCTTTTTTCTTTTGGAAAAGTGGCATGCTCCATAATATGAAAAAAAAATGTACATTGGAAAGACTGAGTGATAAGTGATATATCATATTTATTATATGTTGTCAAAAAAGTCACTTATATACATTAGTAAAACATGATTTTTCTTTTCATGTCTTTTTGATTCAGTAAAATAAATGCTTAGACAAAAATATAGAATTTTTTGTGATTGAAAATTACAGAAATAAAGTTTATCTTTTTTTAACAAGTGATGAAATCCAAGGGAGCTGATTTTACTGAAGCAGAATGTACTATGATGAAATGTGTCACTTGGTTTAGGAAAACAAAATCCCTTCCGGAATATTAGGAATTTACAAAATCTGTAAAGATGTTGGGCTGACTTGTATAAAAACAGCTCCATTTTTCACGGTGGCCTCTTCCGAGCCGTTATTCGATATGTGTGAACTTCTTTCTTTTTAAGTGGAAGATTTCAGAGCAGTTCGTGAGGCGCTTGTCGGCTGTTGGTGCTTGCCAAGTAGGCGGCCAACTTTCCCTGCTGTCCCGGCCTGCCTGACAGCCCCAGCCGAACCGGGTCTGTCCACCCCTCCTCCTTCTCCTAGGGCTCCTCCTGGGGCGATGAGGGTCCAGAGCGCTGGGCAGCGGAGACGCCGGCAGGGGCTGGGCTGCGGGCGGGCGGGCAGACACGCGGGCCTCGCAGCTGTTCTGCAGCCCACGGCCGGGCGCCCGCGCGGCAGGACAGCCTGCAAGCAGGAGGCTGCAGGGCGCGCAATTAGGGCGCCCGGGGGGGTCTCGAGAGGCCTAGCTAACAAACCCTGGTCGTGCTTTGATCCTGGTCTTCTCATTCCCTAGCGGGCATCCAACCCCTAGCCCCGAGCCAAGTCTCTTGTCCTAGTGAGTTGGCTGTGCTGGGATGTCTGGAGCGGAGTGCAACTCTGGCCGAGACAGGTGTGCCAGGCTTTTTATCCGCGTCCCTGGATCTTTTGGGACTGCAAAATGAGAGGCCCTGCCCAGAGGGTAGTGAAGGCCGGCTCCCTGCTTTGGGAGTGTGTGTGTGTGTGTGTGTGTGTGTGTGTGTGTGTGTGTGTGTGAGTGTGAGTGTGTGTGTGAGAATGAGTGTATACGTATTCGTAGCACCTAGGCCAGAGCCGGACCTCAGCCGCAGGCCCCCCTCCCCCACTAGCTCCCAAGAGGCTCAGCACTCCCGACTAGTGAGGAAGAACTGGGGGTGTGTGTGTACATTTCCGGGGCTTCTCCCACCTTCCCCAGCCCCAAGGTCACTTCTCGAGTAGTCAGAGAGTTGGATCCCGGTCTGGGTTTCCTTACATCTCTATCTTCACTTCTGCCCTAGTACATAGTCAAAGGAGTAAGACCTGCAGCTAAAACACATCCAGACCCATTTCCCAACTTTCTTTGGTGTTTGAATCTTAGTAGAGTTATAAAAACATTTTTAAAAATGTGGAGTGCTGTGGGAGTGTGTGTTGGGGAGGAGAGGGAAGGAAGAAGGAAAGAAAGGTGAAATCCAGGAGGAAATTGCCTCCCCCCGCCTTGATCAGACCTGGGCTAATCAGGGAGTGGTTTGCAGATTTCTCTCCAGCTCATCAATTTGCTTTAAAAGTGGTCTTGGTCTTGTTTGATTCTAACAAAAGTGTTTGGACTGGCCCTTCTCATTTTCTTCCTGCTGAGCTGGGACAAACTCAAACAGCTGGGCTGGGCTGGAAGCTGGGTGCCACTGTGTCCAGTGGGAATGCCCATTGCCTGGGTACTCAGCAGACTCTCCTTGTTCTGTCTTAGCTGCTGTTGGGTTTTACAATCACGCTTAAATAGTTCACAAATGGTCGGCCTGGGCCTAAAAAGGCACTTTCCAAGGCTTGGGGGTGCTACAGCTTCTCGATGCACTGGCCCCAGGGCTGGTCATCTTCGGGGGGAAAAAGGGGGACCTGGGAATTCACTGGAGCTCACACATTCTAAGTTCCCTACAAAGAATGACCTCAAGTCCAGTTGGGAAATGCACATAAACAAACCTTCAAATACAAACCAGGCCATAGCACCCATCTGCTACCAGCAGCCCGCCAGCAGCCTGCCAGCCACTCTGCTGAGGAGCCTGCCAGCTACCCCTTCACTCTCAAGGCTAAACTTGGACTCCATAGGTGGACAATGAAGGGGGAAGCACTATGTCTACAGAGACCAAGGTTTCCTAATTAACCTCATATTCCACTGCTGCTAGCAATTAGGTTTGATCCACCAGAGTCCTCCCAAATGTGCTTTCGCTTCAAAGTCATGTTTTCTTTCACCCCCTAAACCATCCAGCTGACAGTGTCAATACCCCTTCTACATTTGTGTTGTTTACTTCCTATTGCACAGAAGTTGGCAAAAGGAGTATGTGTGTGTGTGCGTGTGTGCGTGCGTGTGTGTGTGTGTGTGTGTGTGTGTGGTGGCGGGACTGTTGTCCCAGGAAGAAAGTTGAGTGCTGGATTTCTTCTTTTCATTCTTTTCTTTCTGCAGCAGTACCACCTCAGCAGGTGCCCTTCTATTCAAACATCCCCAAACTATTGCTTACAAGTCAAATGCAAACATAGTCCTTTCCCTCAAAAGGGGTCCTTCAGTCTGTGCCTGCCCAACAAAGTAGCGGTGTTGGCTAAAAGGTGAGGAGTGCAACACCAAGTTTTCCAAAAAACAAGGAACAGGATAATAGACAAAGGTCTTTTCACAAGGGAGATCCAGAGTTAGTTATGGAGGCTCAGAGGTCTGTTGGCCCTGGGAGGTGCACTTCTTTTCTTTTTCCCACCTTCAGCTGGTGTTGGAAGGGCACTCCACGGCTAACTCCATTTGGATCTCTCCTTTGATTAAGCTGGGGACTGGCAAAACAGGGATTTTCGGGGGGCATTCTTTGCTTGCTACAGAAACACAGGAGAACAAACTTGTTTCAGAGAGATTGTTTAGACACTCACAAAGGCCCCTTACATTTGCTCTCCTCAAGATCAGCTTTGCGACTCCAGCAAACCTAGCACAAATCTGTAGTGAGTATGGAGTAAGAAGTTAACTCCCCAACTAGCAGCCAGGTGTTCTAGCCCAAGCCAGCAATTTTCAATGAGTTGCAAAGTTATGATTGCTGCTTGCTTCCATGCCTCCAGCAAATATACCTACCACCTTGTAACAGTTTAGTTTTGCTCCCCCTGCCCTTAAAATGAAAGTCCACATGATGGCAAATTAGACAGCTGATTTCCTCTGTTGCAAATAAAACCGTTTACCCTCAAACCAAGACTTCCGTCCTCCTCCCTCCCTGCCATCTGACTCCTGCCTAGGCAGCCCTTCCCCAGGAGTCTGCCAAATCCCACCTCCCCTCTTTAAACAGGCAGCTTGTGAGTGGTTTGTTTTGTTATATTTTTAACCTTCTAAAAATATTTGGAAAAGCTCTCCCCAGGGCTAGGGAAACTTTAGTCCCTATTAAGCCATGTGGTTACAAAAATATACTGGAAGAGAGCTGCTTAGTTTTCTAAAAAGCCAGGCATGACTTGAAGTCAACATGCTTGGGAAGAGACTGACTTTTCACTACTGGTGGGCATGATCAGGGTCAGAGCTGAGCCTCCTAGGGAACTGATGTTTCCTCCTCAGCATTGAATTCTTGGTGTGGGAAAGCTGGTTTGTCGGGTGTCTTGGCTGTTGGCTAGAAAATTAGGCAGAAGGGCGAGCGGGGGCTTCTCCAGGGTTTACTCCATGAACCCTGGAACAACGCCTCTAGACTTCTTGAGTCTCCCACTAGGTCTTTGTTCAGTCCCCGCTTCTTGGCCAGTTCCAGCCTTCCTCTCTACCCATGGCTCTTTCCCTGAAGTTGGGGCCTGTGTGCCCCTCCCTTCTTCTGGCAGGTTGAACACCCCCAGGGTTTAGTAGGGCTAAGTGTGTGGGATAAGCGTTGTGTGCATTCAGAGAGAGGGAGGTATCACTGGCCTTTCGCATTGGAAAATCAGGTCAGCTGTCTCAGGGAGATGAGATGACCCAGAAGGGACTTTTTTCCTCGCCTTCTTCCGGCTGAATTTTGAAGGCCTCTGTCAGTCTGAGTGTTGCTGAGTGGATGGTCTCAGCCAACTTCGCATTGTCAGTTTCTCTGCTCTCTGCCTCTCCTTTTGTCTCCCCTCGGGCCTCCCTCTCCCGTTTCTCTCTCCTAGCACCACAGACAGCTCCCAGGGCGCGCGGGGGAGCGGAGTCCCGGAGGCTGGAGGGTTCCCTGCAAAGCCTAGGCGACCGCAGGGGGCGCACCGGGGAAGGGTCGGCGGCGCCCGCGGGGGAGGTCCGCGAAGTGATTACAAAGCGCCCTCCCCGGCGGCGCTTCCTGATTAGCTGTAAGTCCAAACAGGGTCACATTCCAAAGAACAAAATCTTCAATCAATAAAGTAATTCAAAAACCAAAAGATCTCGGGGTAAGTAGTGCTCAGTGACAGATCAACTCTAAACCGTCCCTATTTAATAAGTTCTTAGTGGAAGCCGACTGGGAAGGCGAGGGGCCTCCGTTCTGCGGCTTCGAAGCCCTTGCGTCGCGGCCGCAGCGAAATCGCCAGAGGAACCGCTCTCAATGGCATTTTTTACTTTCTCCGCTCGCGCAGCTCCGATCCTGCTCTGCGAACCGCCGCCTCGGCCGATGGAGGCCCAGGAGAAGCGCTCCCGAGACGGCCGCCCTGCAGGTTGGGTTGAGCCGAGGCCCTGATCTCCACTGCTTTTTCCACCTCTCGTCTCCTCTCCGCCGGTTTGGGGCTCTCCCAGCTCCCGCTACGATCTGGTCCAGGACCCGCAGGAGCTCCACTGAAAAAGGAGGATCTTCGCGAGCCCGAGATTGAACTTGACGTACGATAGAAGGGCTTTGTCACTTTGTGGAGCTGATGGATTTCCGCCCCTACCCACCCCTATGTCTGGCCGCCTGGATTCTTTAGTGAACAAGCCCTAGATGTGGGATCCTCCCTCCCACTCCCAGCAGTTCTCACACACGTTGCAGCCCGCGGTTTGCTCCGCGATTCCCACGCCCCACTGCAGCGCGTGGGCTCCGCGCTGGGCCTCCCGCCGTATGCGCCCCAGCCGGGCCTCAGCGCTCCTCCTGCCCCACCCCCAACCCGGATCAGCCCCGCCGCCCCAAGTTCCCGCTCCCCGTTACAGACGGTGTTTCAGGGAGAAATGCGTGCGTCTGGATAGGGGCCGTATAGACCAGGGACAGGAATCCAAATACCTTCACGAACGGTGCTTGGGCAGGGCCTACAGAGC